AAAAAAAATGGTTTGTCCAGGCACACAGTAGACTTGCAGAAGCTTGATACTATTACCATGAGGGAGATCTATCATACCCCATCTCTGTTTAATCAGGCCGTGGTGGTGCCAGCATACATGAAAAAACTGTCCTGGATGCATGGAATGGAAACCATAGCCTTCCCCTCTCCCCAGCAGCATGTAACGCAACTATGTTCATCACTGAATGGCGCATATACCAATACCTTTAGGCTCTACAGGGATTCCAAACGTCAAGAGATGCATATACTTGTCAATTCAACAATATAACTGTTGATATGGTCTGAAAAATCCAATGTATTGACAACAGCATAATCTAGGATGACTCCATCAATGTATCATTTTGGCACACAATGGACTATATTACCTACTGTGGCAACAACGGCATTGTCTTCAACCTGGAGAAATTTCACTTCACAGAAAATTATCTCTGGCAATGATGATGTACGGCCGTGTGATAAAGAACCTTCTCCCAGCTCTCCAGAACAAATACCAAATTCATAAACAGTGAGGTGAAATCAGCCAGTATAGGGAGACAGCAATAACCAAGAGGCATATGATGAATGAAAAGTGCTATGATGCACACAGTCATCCACTTCAAGAGCTAGAGATTGGAGGATTGGTTCAAATACAGAACGAAGCCAGTCTATACCAATGAAAATGAGTGAAAACTCAGAGTTGTGGAGGCTAAGCAATATGCAATACCACATATATATTGATGAGAGCAAATGGGTGGCCTGACACAACCACCGCTTCCTCTAGAAGATAAACCTAATTGTGTACTGTCCCTCAGATACTGGATACATCAGATGACACAACAGGGCCTGGTCCCTGACATCAACGAGTACTCAAGGAGATCCCTGCAATGGACCACAACCCAAACACTTTGTGGTCCCATGAGGAGGTGGCACATGTAGAGTAGGACAGGTGGCCATATCATACAGAGCACAATACCAGTTACCCATTAATGAAATGGACTAACCCAGCCATGTGCAAAACGTGGTACACATGTAAACAATGCAAATATAAACAAGGCTAGTGGGGAGCCTGGAAAAGGAGATAGATTGCAACCATCATTCAAGCACCCTACACTCTAGAGACTGCTTGCTCTACATGGAGAGAGGCCTAGAAAAGGTGGTTTAAACCTTGTTCACAGCAAACTCAAGCTTCACTTTAAACTCAAGCCAAGAAAAGGAAGGGCACTCTGTAAAAAGTTCAAGGTTGGCAGTTTTCAATCAGATAAAATGAAAGCTAACTTCCAAGCAGTACTTGAGTCAAGGCTTGAAGATGTGAGCTTCCCTACAGATTCCTCTTCTAAAACACTTTGGAAAAAACACGAAACTTGCATTTTGCAAACAGTTTAGAAGTCCTTGGGTTCTCCTCAAGGAAGAACAAGGACTGCTTTGATGATAGCAATGTGGAAATCCAAGAACTGCTGGTGAGGAAGAGATTAACTCATCAGGCCCACTTAGCTCAGCCAGCTTCTCCTGTAAAGAAAACTGTGTTCAATTTTGTATGCCATGGACTCCAGTGCCTGCTATGAGAGATCAAGAATGAATGGTGGACTTAACTTGCTAAAAAAATTCAGCTGCATGCAGACACTGGTTTTTGGTTTGTTTTGTGGCATATCAACCTTAATGGGATATTTAATGCAGACAAGATTTTTATTGCTGATAATATTTTTTTTCAAAAATGTATTGCTGGTAATAATGTATTGCTGGTAATCATTTTTCTTTTTACAAAAAAGTATTTCTGGTATTAAAACTTATTTTACACTTTCATAATGTTTTAACCCATGTTTGAGGGTTAACTATTTACCCATAGCTGGGACCCTAACAGGTGCCATCACCCCAGTTCAGGGTGGACCTGGGAACACCAACAATTAAATGCTCCTCAAAACCTCCTGATCAGAGGCCTTGCTATTGGATGTAGTTTATCATATTACCCAGGATGTGGATATAGTTTATCATCATACTCAGGATGTGCTGACACTGGAGACATCAGGGGTGTCTATGAAGCTTTAAATGTAGTGTACAGCCCTATGTATCAGGTCCAGAGTCCTATGCACAGTACAAACACTCCTTACAAACAGGGCATCCATCCTAAACCATTGGTCAGGGCATTTCCAGTCCCTCTTCAGCACTAACTACTTGGTTTAGAAATCAGCAATTCTTCGCCTTCCCCAACAACCAGTAAAAACAGAACTGATAAGTTGCCCACCATTGACGAGACTATCAAAGTCATAAAGCAGCTGAAGTGTGGCAAAGCAGCATGAGTTGATGGATTTCCATGAGAAATCTGGAAATATGAGGGTCTGGTGTTGCATATGAAACTCCACAAGCTCTTTTGCTGTTGCTGGGAGCAGGGAAAACTACCACAAGATCACCGCAATGCAGTCATCATTTCCCTGTATAAGAACAAAGGGGAAAATAGTGTTTGTTCTCCAGCAGCTACAAGAGAAGTGTGAGGAGCAAAACAGTTGATCTGACAAAAGCATTTGACGCAGTGAACAGAGGAGGAATGTGTCGGATCATGGAGTGACTCAGGTGTCCTCCAAGGTACCTGAACATGATCACCCAGCTACATGAGGATCAAAAATAAAAAATTAATTTACAAAAATGTGTTTTACTTAAAGAAAAAAGTGCTATCAGTTCCTTAGTAATTAACAAAGATAACAACTGTTGCTTAGATTGATTTTTGCATTCTATAAATCATTAAATATATTTGTGCTTATGTAATACTTCAATCATTCTTTTATAAATTGTACTAATGAGGATGATTTTTTGAGTACATATAAATGTATAACTAATTCTTATAGAAACTCTTTATTAGGAAAATTAATGACAAAGGGAAAAACATTTTTATGTGATGCATTTTGTCCTTTAGTGCTTCATTGGTCTAACATGATATCTATATTGATGCAACTACACATGTGCATGAAGAAAAGGAGATGCTGAAATTTTAAACTTTTCAATTTTTGTAAATGTATTTGAGTATATAGTCTAGCCAATTTCATTTAGTTTCTTTTTTTTATATTTTTATTGCTTTATCCCACATTGTGATAATATCTCACTTTTATATGATATTTAATTATGTCAGCAACTATTTCATACATAACCACTTTTCACAGATACTTGTAAATGGACTGTTTCAGTCGGATACTAGATAGAATTATCTCTTAAAAATGCATCGAAGATGCAAAAATATTAAAATATCATCTGAAATAAACTTCATTAGAGCACATAAAAGGAGGTAGTTACATACACTGTTTTGTATACATGTCTCTTTCAGACCATATCTGGCCACAAGAATTTGAAGCCTATCAGATTAAAATAAAATTATAGATGTTTTAAAACCCTCAAATCCCATCAAAAAGTAAAAAATCAAAATATTTAAGTTTCTTTGTATTTGTTTTCATTTATTACAAAGAGGTAGTAAAAAGTTCTTAGTTCAATCCACTTCCTAAAATCTAACCAAATATTCAAACATCAGATTTTAAGGTAAAGGGTGTTCAAAGGTACTTGGTCAGGCCAAGTATCTTTGAACACACCTTCATACAAAAATAAATATGACCATTTTTGCACAATTTTTGCTGAAGATAATCTAATTTTGAATTAAAATCATAAATGTTGTTTGAAGTTTTAAGTATTTTCTTTATTCTATTGATTTGAAGACTTGTATCATCATAAGCATAGAACTTATGGTTACATATAGCCAATTCAACTGTAAACTGATGGAAACTTGTTGCTAATCTAGTACTGCACTTCAAAGAGCTCATCCAAACAATTACCATGAAAGTATTTATATAAAAAGGCATAGGGTAGCAACTTGTTTTTATTGCATTTTATCTGATATGATCATTAGCCTTATCAGATCTATATTGTAGCCAGTGGTCATTTTTAAAAGTTGTCCAGGACTATTTTTAACTACTTAAAAAACAATTTACCTATAAAAAAAACAATTTACAGATTGAAGCCAAAACTCAAATGACCAATAAGAATCAAGTAATTACTGCTAAAGATTTTCATATTACAGATAATGAAGAGTTTTTATTTCTAATTTGTCCTGAGAAAATGTTGCATATATACAACTAATGAAATGAAAAGTATTGGCCAATGCCTACAGACACAAACAATATACAAAAGTAAATTTGAAAAAAATAAAATTGTTGAAGTTAATATTCCAAATAATTTATGGAATATTGAAAATCATTTTCAGAACTTCCTGAAAATAAGACTTTTCTACAAAGCCATTGAGGAGTGTTCATATTCAGAAAGTTATAATTCTTTCATGTTTTAGTGTCTGTATAATGAAAAATCATATTTTGTTATTAGATATTAATAATAATATATAAACAGTGGTGGGATTTAATTTCTTTTAATAATAGGTTTTCTCTTTTAAATTCAAAATTAAATGAAATTAGAAACTTGTTCTTTCATTTTTTTTAAACCAAAATTTGGAGTATCAAAATTTTTGTTGATGGATATTTCTTAGATTTCTTGTGCTCTGATGAATTATTGTTAGTTCTTATCACAAACCCACTAGTAATAAAGGAACAAGAAGCAGTTAAACTATTTATAATTGTATATTGTTATGTATAGTCAAAGATTGTTTTAGTGCTCATAACTCATAATTTATCACCCATATGTTTGGGAGACAAAGATCATTCATTTGCTAAATTATATAAATTTCACAATTTAGATATATATAAAGATAGTTTCAATAAGTTGAGAAAAAAGAAACACCTTTACTGAAGAGACAAAGCGCAATTTCTTGTGAAGTTCTATTTGAGAAAATCATACTGCCATCTATAAAAATATGGCAATCAATGATTTTACAAGTACAAAATGAAGTGCAAATAATAAGAATATTTTTGTTAATGCTTAAGAATGTTTATACTTCTTCTGGAAGTATGTAAGTGCTACACAATACTGTATTATAGAATCAAAGAATAGAATAGTGTAAAAATAACACAAAGTTACCTGTTTTATGGATTGTTCAGTAAGTATGTTTTCATCTCGAACAATGATAATTGTTTCATCAATGGGAAACTCTTCAATCATGCTTTCTTGTTTGTGTTCCCATGTTTTCACCCAGTATGCTTGATCATTCAAGTGCATTAGTGATTTTGGAATCCATTCTCTCTCAATATTAGCCTTCACTCTAAGATGGACACCGGCACTTATACAAGTCAACAAAAGTCCAATGGCAATAAACACAAATGGATACCTTCCAGTAGTATAGCCCAAAAAAAAAAAAAAAAAAAAAAAAAAAAAGAAAAAAAAAAAGATAAATTAGTGAAAAATCAACTACTTATATCCAATTAAAGGAGTTGCAAATAAATGATGTGCCAAATAGTTAAAAATATGGGAATGAAATGTAGATTCTTTTGCACATTATGAGGGGGTGCTGAAAAGTTTTCAGTCTAACCCACTTCCCAAGGTCTGAACAAATGAACAAACATAAGCTTTTTTTGAATTCCATTGTAATAAACCCAAGAACCTTTCAGCACCCGTATGTGTGTGTATGCACACACACACACACACACACACACACACACACACACACACAATATAAACATTTTATTATTGAAACCAAGATTTCACAATCATGCTTGGACCAAAAAATACTAAAGACCTATAAAACTATTGTACCTGACCACTCTCTTATGGGGTGATTTTCAAATTTTTCACAGTAGATATGGCACAAAGCCGAAAGTATGGGGTATCTAGTGAGAATCAAACTCACTACTCAGTTGTAATTGTCCATTCACCTATATGGTGCTGAATTTTGTGTTGTAAACCAGCTTCCATCAGCACTCCCTCTATGCCATTCTCAAAATACAACTTCATCACATGCACAGAAGTCCTCAAGCTCTTTCAGCATTGGCTACAAAATGCACAACTACACTGAGCTGGCCACGTATTGACTTCCAATAGACACTGTTCAGTAAGCTGGCCTCTGGACAACACAACAGTGAAGTGTCATGAACAGAAACAGAGATTTGCTAAAGAGGATCTTTATTTTCTGTGGTATTGACCATTGAAATAAAATTATTAACAGAAACTGGTTTAAAACCTCAGCTCACAGACATGATACATTCTTTATTATAGGTTGACATTTTAAATATTTTCCCAAATAAATCCAGTCATAGCTGGCTCATCAGCAAAAAGCTTATAATCATTTGAAATTATTAAAAATCTGACCAATCTATGCCACTACACTTCTTTTCTTTTCAATTTTAAACTGAATTCACCTCATGTAAAGCAGTAAAGCAACTAAGACACAAGGATTACTGGGTGTGAGAGAATTAGAAAACAGAAGCATTATTGAGGAGCAAGAATAAAAGAGTAATCAGTAAAATAGTAAATAACAATTGACACTGGATTTAAATTTTTGAACATAAACTTGTCTGGAAAGCAAGAAGCCAGAAGAAAGTTCCACAAGTGAGAAGTGTGAGAAAAGAAACTGTTAGCATAGAACTTATGGTTACATATAGCCAATTCAACTGTAAACTGATGGAAACTTGTTGCTAATCTAGTACTGCACTTCAAAGAGCTCATCCAAACAATTACCCTGAAAGTATTTATATAAAAAGGCATAGGGTAGCAACTTTATGGTGAAAGGAAAGTAACTGAAGCCAAGACACCAAGTCAGGACCAATAATATTGCTGATTTGTCTTTGGATTTTATTAATAACTAGCAGTAGAGCCCGGCGTTGCCCGGGGATGTAACAGTAAGAGATAGATCAAGTATCGACCATCATAAAGACTGAAAAATAAAATTGACAAAGATTATTGTTTAAGTCTTAATTAGTTTTTTTTTGTTTTGTTTTTTTTTATGAATTGGTCAAACGCAAACGCAAACTCAAATAAAAACATTGTTTACAATCGTTATGTGTCTATCAATTGATGAATAGAATTTTATTAGAAACAATTGTCTTGTAAATGGAATTTTTAAAGCATTCTAAATGTAAAAATAAAGAAAAAAATGTGCAAGACTATAAGAAACACTACCTGCCAAAAAAAAGTGAAGTTTTGTTGAAATCGGTTGAAAAATATAGGTAGCCTTTCTCTGTAATCTTTTACAATTTATGATTTTTACTTATTGAAAACAGTAAAAAAAATTGCATATTTTGCTTGTGGTGATTCATAATTAGAATTCTGATTTGAATATATTTTTCCACTCGTTGTTTCTAATACAAAAAAATATTAACTTTATTTGGGTTTATTAATTTATTACAAGTACTGTGTTCTTTCCTTAATAATTATCATCTTCAAATATTGTTTGTTTTTTGTCTATCAGATTTCTTACATCGGCATTTTTAAATTATTTCTTAATACTTTCTTTTAAATATTGAATTAATTTCAAATAGAACCAATACCTTATTGATCTGCCTTGTAACAAATTGCAAAGGGAATTGTAAAACGGGCCCTAAAGTATGTGGAATTATCTTTCCCTAAAGATAAAGAATTATCAATTTTTCGATTCGTACAATCAGTAGAGATCGTTAGATTATTGTTTAGGTTGATTTGACACGCATGTCTTAGTTTGTTTTTTTTTTTTACGAATTGGTCAAACCCAAACTCAAACAAAAAACATTGTTTTCAAACGTTATGATGAGTCCCCTGATTGAATAGAATTAGAATTTTATTATAAACAATTGTCTTGTAAATGGAATTTTTAAAGCATTCTGAATGTATGAATAAAGAAAAAAAGTGCAAGACAATAAGAAACACTACCTGCAAAAAAAAGAAAAGTGGATGTTTGTTTTATCGGCTGAAAAAATGTAAGAAATCCGATCCCATATATAAAGGAACACACACACACGCACACACACACACACAAACAACCTGGGTTTTTTAACCCGATGTGAGTTGTCTCCCTTTCATTCTCACGATGTGTCTTAATCGTGTTTTCAAATTGATTTTGTTAAAAAACACTTGTGTTTTTCCCATTTTCGGCGCCGTTAGAACCACCACAAGGTAATTTTATGTAGTCCTTTGAAGTTTTGTTGAAATTGGCTAAAAAATGTAGGAAATCCGATCCAATATATAAACGTTACAGACACACACACATACACACAATCTGCATTTTATAATAAGTAAGATCTCTAGATAAATAGCAGGAGCACTGGACCATATGTAGAATCAATATTCTAAGCATGGACGAATGGTAGACTTATAGATATGTAAGATAGATTCTGAAGAGAAAAATTGTCTCACATGACACAGTGAACCAACTTTCTTAGCAGCTGACCTAGCAATGGATTTAATATAGTCTTTCCACTTCATGTCAGATGAGAATGTTAGTCTGAAAAGGTGCAACAAGCCACTACTGGGGGTTAGCATCAACCATAATGATGAAAGGCAGAAAGGGATCTCTCAGATGATTAATAGAGAACAGTTTTAATAGTATTTCACTTGTTCTTGTTTATTTCTATAAGGAATGCACACAATAATACTATATTCATATAAAAATAATAATCTCTTTCATGCAGTAAAAATTTTCATTATTGAGATGTTACTAAATGCATAGATGACTATCAATAGTTAGCAACACAGTATTGAAAAATGTCCAAATGTGCATCCAACAGGAAACAGAAAATATTCTTTTTGCCTCCTGTTGTACATACATGGTTCATATTCAAAGATATCTGTTTCTATGCCTCCATTGGAAAAATGTTAACAGAATATGGAAGTTCCAGCCTACAAAGTAAAGTAACAATATTATGTTTTACAATCAATTGACCTTAATGTGACTTGTCATTAGTTTTTAATTAAATAACAATTTATATCTTTTGTTTTCTTTGGATTAGGAAGTGAGGTGAGAGTGAGTTTCACAACCACTGCCTTCTCACCGGTCAGTTTTTAAACATGGAAAAGCAAGGTATGATCATTTTTATAGGATATACGATTCATAAACATAAGTTGGCACCTGTCAGTCTCACTTATGTCAGTAATAGACTAATGACTAAAAGGTTTCAGGTGAACTGCCTCTTTCATATTTATTACTTTTCATTTAAATAAAAGAATAAATTATAACATTAAACCAGAGTAAAAAGGGTCTCTCTCATAATTATTAGCTCAGAAGTTAAAACATATCAATTTGGTAATATCTGTCAAATGTTAAGACTATTGTCTCAAAAAAGAGAAACCAGAAAAATAAGTAAAATAATTCTTACAAACAAAAAATGAAAAGGAATTATTCCTGCCACTCACACAATATTCAGTATTGTTAATGATAATATTACTTTGGATATCATCTATTTATATAATGAACAGTGACATTTTTTTATATGTCAACAACAATAAAATCACTCACTATTTAGCAACCTGGTCACACTAACAAATAAGAAAATCTATTGTAGTAGTATCACTCAAAGCAAGCATTGTTACCATAACAATGACATATTAGATATTAAAAAATTATAAAAGTATAAAATTATTACAATACCAGGAAGCATGCTTGGCAGTATGTTGCAGAATGAAAGATAAAAGAAACATTATATTGACAGTTGAAGGAAAGGAAACTCAAGGCCATATACTAAATGATACTAATACATGGACAAAACATGTGAGTAACAAGGAATTTTTAAAGAGAATAAGAACTAGAAGGAAATTTATACTTACAATTAGAAAAATACAGCTGAAATTTCTTATATGCTTAATGAGGAAATAAGGCCAAGAGAATTTAACACTAATAAGACACACTGAAAGTAAGAGAAGTAGGGGGAAATAGCAACTAATCTACTTAATAAGCTTGATTGAATGGATGGTAGAATAAGAACCAAAAAGTATAGTAAAAAGAAAAGTTATTCAGAACAACAATAGACAAGAAGTTGACAAGAGCCATGATCAATCTTGTCCTGAAAAGACATGGCACATAAAAAAAGAAAAAGAAAAAAAGAATTCATATATAAAAAGTTGTGGAAATTAAAGAACTTCTAAGCATATATATTTAGGGGAAAATTTAGGCACTTTGATGCGGTATGATGGTTAGCAAGCTAAAATAAGTATTCAATATACACCAAAAAAAAACATTTTATTGTAGTATTTAGAAT